CCCCAAAACCCCAAAACCCCAAAACCCCGGATATGATAAAGTCCTATTAATTCATGAAATTAAATTTTATATCAATCACTCACTCATTTTTAATCTTATTTTGGTTAAAATTACTCATATGCTCCATAATTCTAAACATGAGGGTAAGCTGATTGTCCTTTAGTGAATTATTACTACATGGATGCTTCAGGGTTGTGAATCACTATTGGTGTCTGCTGTTTGAATTCTTCTTTTTCTCTGAAATCCTAGGGTGACTACTAGACAGTCACATGGGGGGATGCAGACACTTAAGATGAGGATTAGAATTAATCTTAATTGTATTGCTATTAGGCAAACTGATATGGCTACTGTTAAGAGATATTTGGAGGATACTGTTAGGATACTCCTGGAGGTAGCTGCTGTGAATATTGTTATTCTTGATAAATAACGTTTGAGTGATATGGTGACTGCTATAAGTTGACATAAGGATTCTCATGCTATATTTGTTAGCCTTGACCAAAACCTATTGGATATCTGTCTTGGATTTACATCCCTTTAGGAATAGACGATGGATAGATAAAAATGGGAAATTTAAGGCTTGGCATCCTGTTAGCTAATGATAGCAATCCATGGTCCAGCTTAATCTCGATAGTATACAAGCATTTTAGCAATACAGTATTAATAGATGGAGCCAAGTGCTGAGCTAGTCCTTTTATCTCTTGGGGAATAAGCTAAGTGTACTTCAAATAATTATCAGTCTGAGTATTCATGGGATGAACTTAGTTCATGTCAAATGCTATTATTCTGTTTTATGAGGACTTCTCATGCTACCCTTCTTGCTGCATCTCCCCAATCTTCTCCGTATGTCTGTATACCATCTTGCCATTCTAAGAATAGCAAATGACTTCCCTTTTTAGAGTCATCTTGAGCTTTGAGATTCCTTGATTGCAATGGCTATTATCTATCTTCATATCTATTTTGACCAACTCATTTGGCTAAAAGGTGTCTTTATCTATTGTAGCAGAAGCAGAGCACAAGCCCATGTCCACAAAGAACAAGTTCTTGACCTCATGCGAGATGGACCTACTCACCTTATGATTTATCATCACTGGAGGCTAACTAATATTCACCAACTTCTTAAGGAAAAGGGGCCTGAATTATCTAGAATAGTCTTCCATCCCAACTAGTAAGAAATAATCGATCTTCATTATGCACCTTTATATTCCACAGTATAAAAAACTAGAAGGCAGCCAGTAGGGCAAGTCTATTGCGAAAGGATAGGAGTATGCCCCAGGTAGCAGCTCATTTCTGTGAAAACTCTCCAGAACGATTTCTTGAAAATGTATCTAGTTTTTTGCTTTGATGTCACCCTTGCCATGAGCAGATGCCCCTTTGTCAGCCGAATCAAAGTAGCACTTCTCTTAACCTACGAATCTAAGGACAATCTTGTCAGTAGTAAAAGGATCTCTCATCTAAAGATTAACAACGCCTGTAAGCTTCTCTCCTGATATCCAATTGAACTTATTCAACTCAATAGAAATTAGACCTCCCTGGAAGTTTGGCAAGTTACTTTACTTTTAGCCCATAAAATACATACTATTATCTAATCAAATAAAATAATGAATCTTAGAACTTAATATTTTCTTAAGGGGTTTTGGGGTTTTGGGGTTTTGGGG